ATTTTGAAGCACTGCATTGATACTTCATACTACAGTATTTAAATACTGTATTTTTCACTAACTGGTTATGAGATTTAGCGGTCAAAACATCATATTAAATGGAGGTGAGAGCACTCAGGAATCAGTTTCTCTGATCTAGGAGCAATATATTTACACAGCTTGTAGCATCTGGAAATCCTTTCCACTGGGTTGTTTGTGCTCCCGTGTAACATGACACTTGTAATATCATCCTAATGTGGGGTGGGACTGTGAGCCCATGAAGATGATATCTTATTCATACCTTTGTTGGCCAACTTGGCAGAGGTTCTGTATCTCAATAGGGCTGGATTTGGAGCAGCTTTCTGGAGCTACCAGACCTGTGGCTGCTCTGAGGTGGAGGGGGTGCTGGCATGTGGGATTTGACCAAACCCCACCAGAGCTGTACCCTTCTTACCTGTATTATATATTGCAGTGTCCTCTATTATAATTTCATTCACCTGTTTTTTTAAATGAATGTGGTTAATTTCTTGAACTAAACCCATGCAAATCCCATCCCTTTGAGAAAGTATTTAGGGAAGTATGCAAGAGCAATATCTGTTTTAAAATATTTCACAGAATGGATTGTGTTGGAAGGGCTTCTAAAGGTCATCTAGGTTTGGTAGACCTTCCCCTCCAGGCTGCTCAAAATCCCATCAACCTGGCCTTTTTTTACTACCAAGTTGAGAAAAAATACACCGTATTTGGAACTTGCTTCCCTTGCTAACTTGAAACACTAAAGAAGAGATGGGGAATTTTGTGCTGGATCTCTTGAGGGTTGTCTGGTCATGTTTACAACTGGTGTGTCACACCAGCACAGTGTTCACCCTCATCTTTCCTCTAATGGTCTCCTACTGCTGTCCATGTTCCTGCTTGGCTTCATAGCATGTTTTAGGACAGGGATTTCTTCTTAGAGACATGGAACATCTCTGGGCTCTTAGTTCTAAGGAGAGACTGCTATAAGTAAAAATGGATGCAAATGTAGCTGGTTCTGCAAAACAGCACTTGTGTTTTGAAATTAAGTGGTATTATGTGGTGTTCCAAACTCTTGCAATCACTGTGAATATTTGTGCAACTGGGATTTCCTAGCAAAGTGGAAGTGGAAAGGAATTTTTGAGCAGGAATATCAAATCACGAATACACCTTCAGCTGAAAAGAAAACAGCTTTTTTGGGAGGCTTTTATCGTAACAATAATAGCCTTTACTGACATATGGCCAGAAGCCTTGGGTGCCACCAAAGGTTTTATTAATCCATTGGAGCTGTTGATGGTGGTACAGATCAAACCATCCCTTAAGATTTGAAGGTCTGGGCATGAGTAGCACAGAGGAGTTGCACTGCTGCAGACTGCAGCAGATGTGACCCATTGTGGGGTGCCCTGTGTCATTGGAAATGCAAAGATGCACTGAAGCTCTCTTGGATTGTTCACTCCTCAGCATACTAAATGCTTCTCTAAAGTATTTCAGAATCTGAGCTATAAAGTAATTTGAATTCAGAAAGGAAGATAATAAAATAATAGATAAAAAAACACTCTGTATAGTATAGACTGTTTGAAAGAGCATGAAAGTCTTTATCAAATACCTTTTACAGTAGAATTCATTTGTGTTACCACAGGGAGCAATTGTGATCCTCAAATCAAGACAGCAGAAAAATCTGAAAAGGTTTCTCCTCGTCCTCCTCAGATCCACATTATCTTGATACTAAATCTTGTCCCAGATTTATCATTGCTCCTCTTTCGTTTATTTGTCTTCTTGTCTCCCTGATCATTCCTGTTTATTCCTTCTCCTTTTTTTTTTCCCACTGATTCCTCTTCAGCAGAGTCCAGACACCAAGTCCTATGTAGATGACCTGCAGAAAGACTGGGGAGAATTTTGTCCAGCATTAACTCTCATCATGCTCCTGGTCAGCTTCCCTGCTCGGTCTTGCACCTAGTGCTCAAAATGAGATTTTGTCATGAAAGTCTCGAAAGATTTGATAAATCTCAGTCTTTTATTTGCGTTGAGTTTGTGGTTTTGATGTGATAGCTTCAGGGCAGCCAATGACAGCCTTGAATGTCTGACCTCTCAGTCTCAAAAATAAACTGTTACTTAGACATTTAAAAAGAAAGACTTGAAAAGAGCAAATCCAAAATTCAAGTTACAAATACAATGAAAATATGTTGATTCAAATCCTGCAAGCGGTTGACAATTTTCTGACCTTTATAGCCTATCCAGCTATTCATGGAGGCTACTGCTCAACAGTTAATTAAATAGGGATAGCAAACACTGAACTGAATTATATTCTTACCTTTTCAGCATCCTGTCTCAGAGTAAAACCTTATCCATGGTAGGCAAACCAGAACTGTAGATCACAGCAGAGCTGTTCAGCTGCAAATACAAACCAGCAGATGGACAAGGTTAGAACTATAGTCCAGCTGTAGAACTGGCTTTGAATTTACATTGAATTTACCATTTGAGGTATCAAAATTGTATTACAAAATTTCTTTAGAACTGAAAACAGGTGCTAAATTAATTATTAGTAGCATCTTGGTACTTTTGCACATCGAACAAACCCAGGACCTTGAAATGAAGAAGGATGTTTTTCCTTGCAAGAGCTATGCTGGATTTGTTGAACTCAGACCTTCCCAGACCATTCCCCAGACCATGTAAATGAGCTAATTCCCCAGACCCAGACCATGTGAATTAGCCGGAAGGCTACTGAGCTAAAGTTCCTACTATTTACAAGTTTGAGTTTGACAAAGAAGAGAAGATGCATGGTTCCATTCCTGAGAGGAAAACAAACCCTTGTGGGTTTTAAGACCCAGTGGAAAAGGCTGTGGAGGTTTTGAATACCACTAAGGAACAGGCTTCCATCTCTCCATGTGCATTGCTCAGAAACCTGTCTGCCTGCTCTGCCTTTACTATTTCTCAAGTAGTACCCTACTCCCTCCAAAATCTGAAATTCTATAAAGCAATAATCCTCCATGAGGAGAATGCTTGCCATTCCATGTAAGTGTGTTAAAGCAAATGTAAACACACACATCAAGTTTGGGGAATTATTTTCTGCAGCTAAATTTTTGAGTTTCCAGCAAATACTGAGAATATTCAGCTGGAGGATGAAGGACATAAGCCTGTTTGTTAATGCAGTTTCACAGTGAAAGTGTTAGAATTAGCAGAGAAAGAAAGGGAAAGAGAAAATTGTGGAAAAGCTTCATCTATCTCCTTATTGCCTCCTGAGATAGATTGTTCAGAGCTAAAGGAACACTAGACATGAACCAAATCTCCTGCTGTCCTATATAGCTTTTACAATCTCCTTTTTAATAACCCAAACTACAGGGTAGTCTGACTATTAGACAAGCCGTTCTTTTGAATTCTCTCCACAATGTGTATAGACATGATAAAAAAACCAATTCTCATTAAAGCTGCCAATGCTGTTTCAAAAGCAGGTGGTTTAAAGTGTTTCCTATACAAAGCAAAACACATTTCTTGTGCATCACACACTGCTTAATAGGGAGTGTAAGATTACACTGCTATGTTGTGTATAACACTGCATCTTAAATAATAAGATATTGTAAGTCATGTTGGAAATATGTTTCACATGAATATGGAAGATATAATGATATGCACTGAGCAATTTTCAGAAGTGCTGGAACACTGCCTTGTGTGACAACCTCTGAGCTGAAGTAGTTGAAAATGGCATCTGGAATTTCAGATTATACAGTCTCTGATCCTAACTGATTATTTTTTCTAGAATATTGTTCAGTCAGCTTGTGGATATATGAAAGTTAAGACTTCTCCTGTCCTGTGGGAATGCTTTTTGTTTGTGTTATAAATTAAGGATGGTAGGAATTGAGTGCTCTCAACATGCGTTTTCATTTTTCACTGAAGTCAGTCTTTTATAAGGAATGCAGGATTGATCTGACGTAAAAATTGTGATATACAGCTCTCTCCTTAAGCTGCTTGTTCATATCCTTTTCCAAACCAGTTCTGAAAAAAACCCCAGCAACCTACAGAGGTCCAGTGGTACTGGACCTCTGTGCAAATTCAGAGTTTGCCATTCACTTCAGCAGAAGCAGACTTTGGTCCCTCATTGATGTGAATATTTCAATCTATCTGTGAATTTCATCAGCAATCAGAAAACCACATAGAGCATGGTAATTCAGGTTATTGTGAATAGGCACAGTAATTCATGTTGCATTTTAAAATGAACAAAAATGTTTGTATATATTATAAACTGCTTTTAATGAAATAAAATTCATTTGGGTCTTTAGTGCGCCTATCTTAATTTTCCCATCTTCTGCTTTAAGAAATAATTACTTCCTTGCTGATAAATCAACTTCTGCAAACAAGGTGAAAATTGATTATGAGCTGATTAAGTTAAATAAAATATTAATGTAAACACTTACATAACATAACTTGGCAGTGAATTTCATATTCTTGAAAAGGTGAATTTTAAAAATGTATTTTCTGTGAGTCCTGTTTCTCCTGAGAAGTCTCTGTAAATTCAACAAGTGACGTCACAGATAATCCAGTAATAAGTGTTTCACCTGCCATTTCATGGACCCATAAACTACTGCAGTTTAACTTACATGACTCTAGCAAATATTAATGTATGTAAATAACGTGTTAAACACCTAGTTATCACTCTGCTCATATTAGCTCTTTCATACTAATGATTTATTTTCATTTTCTCCAGGATATAGACCTGCGGCTAACTGGATTTGATTTATAAGAGGGGATTCTGCAGTAAATGGCTGCTCTCTTCATATTGCTGCTATGGAAAACAGAATTGTCAATAGGATGTAGTCTGATAAATAGTGCTGAGTGAAGATGCAGCTTCAATAAGTGTGAAATCAATGGAAGATACTTACCGCATGAAAAGCCTTTTGAGATTTTTCTGACAGGCACCTATTTAGGAAACTTGATCTGTTTCCTTCGGTCGCCCTGTTTTTACACCAGTGGATACAAATCAGATTGCTTCACTCTAGTGACACAACTAATGTGGGACCATGGCCTTTCCAAGATCCATGTGGCTGAACTGTGTATGGAGAGCGACGGTGGTCCGCCTGCTACACACGGGATTGAATGCCACTTTTGCTTTTTCTATTCTTGGATTTTTGCTTCACGCTGCAGCTGTGTCCTCCCAAAAATTGGATGATACCAACCCAGTGGTGACCACCAACTTTGGCAAGATAAGAGGGATTAAGAAGGAACTTAATAATGAAATTTTGGGGCCTGTTATTCAGTTCCTCGGGGTTCCATACGCTGCCCCTCCAACAGGGGAGCGCCGCTTTCAACCTCCTGAGCCTCCGTCTCCATGGGCAGATGTCAAAAACACCACCCAGTTTGCTCCAGTGTGTCCCCAGAACATTATAGAAGGCAGGTTGCCTGAAGTCATGCTTCCCGTGTGGTTTACTAATAACTTGGATGTAGTTTCAACCTATGTACAAGATCAGAACGAAGACTGCCTCTATTTAAATATCTATGTCCCAACTGAGGATGGTGAGTTAATAGCAGGCGAAACAGGGAGATCTTTTTATTTTCCTGTTCTACTCTCTAACAATATTAATTCACGTGTACTGGTAGCGTGCATGGCTTTCTCTGTTTGCATGCCAGCTTATTACATGTGTGCATGCTGCTTTTCTCTGTGTGTATTTGTCCTTGCTTTTTTGATTTTTATTTTTTAAAATTTCTTTCCTTCTGTCTACACTCATTTTTTTTTTCTCCCACAGCACGTGTAATTTTTAGGTCAAAGTTGGTGCCTAATTCTCATTGTCACCCACTGACTTCTGGGAAGATGCATCAACATCTTTTCCATTGCATGTGCAGGCACAAGTTGAGAATCCTCCGCACCTAATGAAGCAGGTCATATTTAAGTTAGATAGTGGTGTTGCATGCTCCTACTGTCTGTGACGGAGCTCCATGTTATTTTCTAGTCTTCTATTCATTTTTCAGTCAAAAGAATATCCAAGGAATGTGCCAGAAAACCCGGCAAGAAAATTTGTAGAAAAGGAGGTATGTATAAAGTGGACAAAAAACCAAACCAAACAAACAAACCGGGGGAGAGATTGAAATCTTGGAAAAGGAGAAGGAATAATACAGGTGAAAGAGGTTGATTGCTAGTGCTGTGAATTGTTAGGGACTGTCTTGTCCTGGTGGAGAGGTGTTTAAAGAGAGGTCTGTGTATAACAGATGAGAAGATAACTTTGGTAAAGCCGGGACTCAGTTGCACCTGAGCATCTCTGCCTGGCACTCTCTCCAGTGACAGTGCTGGCAGCTTCTCTCTTGGCCTTGAGCTCTGGGCAGTGTCTGTCGGGGGCACCAGGGGATGGGATGTTGTGTGTGGATGCAGAGGAGAGAGCTCTGTGCCCTGGGTTGGGCACTGCTGCCACTGGAGGGGCTGGCACAGCCCACAGCTCTCCCTTCCAGAACCATGGCATAATGGCTGGGAAGCAATTCAGCAATGCAGGGCTGAGACCTGCGCTGGCTTTCTCCAGGAAATTCCCTGTTTTCTTGGAACAGGGTTAACTTTTCTGAAGCGTAGATGTGAAACAGTTTTTTTTTTCGTTTACGCACTTCTAAAAGTGAGCTTTGATTTCCTTTATTCTGTGATTACAGCTCTCTTTGTCAAAGCCCAAAAACTCTTAATAGGGGTGTAAGAAACTGTTAAAATATTGTGACATGGTACATTGGGAGCTAGACTGCTTTTGGAAGCTTTGGAAACTTGGCTTCTCCCCTTTCTGTGTTAAATACTATGGAAGAGTTTGCAGATTTCTTTGTGAATATTTGCAAATTCCTCAAGCAGTTGACACGCAACAGAGAAGGTCTATTTTGGTGCTGATTCAAAGGAGGCATTTGGTGCTAGTTTTGAAGTACTAATTTTGTACTATGCACGTTTGTTTTGCATCAAATGATTTTCCTTTATTGTTTTCTTTAAAGTAATGTGTTACCTTAGAGCTGGACTACATGTGAATTAGAATGCTTTTTGGGATAAGCAAAGAGTACTGTGGACATGCACAGTAGCCTATTAGCTGTAATCCATCTCTTTTTTATCCTGTTATTAAAAAAAAATACATTTTAGAAAGCATATAGCAGAAATGTCTAGAGCTGGGCAAAATATAACTCTTTAAACGCTGCATTAGGTTTTTAAGGCAGTATCTGGGCTCTAAATGAGGGTGGCCTTGTCCCAAGGCTTTAGCTCTTACAGCTCCTAACTGCTGGTTGCAGCTAGCTGTTAATTATTAATTGTTAATTGTAGTTGCTCGATGTATGCTTTTTTGAGATGTCTAAACCCACTTTCAATGACTTAAAGCAATTTGTGTGTAAAGTGTCAGGCTTTGAGGCATCTTCTGTTTTCCGTTAGGGAATTTTTGCTCAGTACTGTAAAAGTACAATTGGTTAAGATGGGTTCCCAAAGCTGGAAATGAAGATAATCAGGGTACTGTGAGCAACGTCACTTCTTCACATATCATTCAAGTTAGAATAACTGCTGTCATTTATATGCATTCAATTAATGTGCAGTGCTGCAGCAGTTATTACGCAGTTCATCAAGCGTGTGTAATTAGCTGAGCAACTTTCACTTCCTATCACCCAGACGCTGATTCACGAAGTCATAAATAAAGATGCAGATCCCCATCATTGTTCTCAGAGAGCATCTCTCATATGAGAATTAAAAAAAAAAAAAAAAAATCAGAAAAATAGCAAAAGTCAAGGGAGGGAGAGCCCAGTAGCTGAGAAAGTCATGCTTTATTGTCCTGTGGGCCTGAAGGAGAATAAAGAGAGTTACTTGAAATTCAGTAGGTACCTTTCCACTTAGATTCATTGCAGACACAGCACCATAAAAAGCCTACCTTTTGCTGTTGACAAGTGCAGAGAGCTCCCGAATACCTTCAGCTGGGCAGCTGAGATATCTGTAGTAATGTGTGTTCTCTGAATAACTCTCACTCTACTCACCCCTGCACAACCTGAGATTTATCCTGGGCTGGGATTGCCCCCACGGCCAGGGGCAAAAGGAGTTGCAGGACTAAGTTGCAGTAGAGTCACAGCAACTGAGCAGCAACCACAGCTGGGAAATAGCATCAGTTTTGTGTTAGAAAGAAGAAAGGCCCAACACTCTCTCTTTTGCTGGATTTTTAGGTTACAGTCATAGCATCACAGTGATGAAAATTATTGGAAGGAGAAAATCTGGAAATCAGAGGCAGACTTTTACACCATCTTTTTAATTCATAAAGGGTATGTAAGATGAAAGTGACTGAAGCAGCAACCATATGCTATCCTTACATGTGGTTTAATTCCTTCTTACTACATGAAATAGATTGAATTAAATAAATAAATTAGTATTTATACTTAATTGTCAGCTGAGGGACATTACAAAATTCAAATTTTTTAAGAACAGGGAGCAATCTGATTAAAATAGATGTAGAAATGAAAGGAGTTCTATCCATGAGTCATGCTAGAGATGGTAATGAGCATTATATCCATGACCTCCTGTTGGGATTTGGATGTGCCCACAGCAGAGGCTGCAGAATGATAGGCTGAAGCCGAGTGAAAAGAAATGAAACAATTCAGCATGTTTTTTGCAAAACAAAAAGGAGGCATGTATTCCAGTTACATGACCTTCAATTTACTTATTCAAAAATAAAGAACATCTGGTTTTGTGTCTTCAGGTACATCAGAGTCAGACTGTTAAGTCTGTTTTGGGTATGCAGAAACTCATGTTTGCAAGTGCTAGTTTTGGAAAATTGGTGCAAAGGCATCTGAGTAATTCTGTGTGACTTTTTGAATCTGGTTTTTATAACTCTAAATTTTAATAGACCCTGGTTATATTATAGGTTATTCCATTTTAGTGATTGATACTAATTATATTGTCTATTCTCTGGCATTTCCTGAATTTCCTGACAAACGTTGCAGCATTTCTGGGGATTACCTGAATAGTATTCTACTGTTTGGCATTTCAGACCTCTAAATTTACCTTATAGTCAAAACACAAATATTGTACTTTTGATCCAGAATGTTTCCTTACCTCTTAGGAGGTCAAGTGCTTCCTGCTTTAACTGCATATCTGTGGTGTTTTAATACACAATAATAATTTCTTTCCACTGCAACAGTTTGCACCAGGAATTTCTTAATTTGATGACAACTACATAAAGAAAATTTGGAAAGGATCACTTATATGACCACTAAAAGAACCCCCAGGTGCTGTGTGCTCTGCACTTGGGATGACAGTGTGCTCCTTCTTAGGAACCTGTACTAAAGCTTTCATGGTACCTGAAGATGCCTCAGTGTGAAAATGTGGAGGAGTACGTGGTATATACTGAATGTCATGGAGCCAGGCAGATGCAGTTTTGGATAAATTAGTATTTGTAGGAGATTTAGGTGTAGAATAAGGAAAGAAATCACTTGATCCTTACTTTTATGTTTAGGAATTATCCGTGGCTCAGAGACCGCCCAATATCTGTGACTTCCCCGCATGTGGATTCTGTTTCTTATTCTAGTCAGGGCAGTGAATAAATTTTAAATGCGAAGACTCATGATCTGAACTACCTCATTTGAGAGTGTAGGATTAGACAGCTCTATTAATATTTATGCCTCCTAATGGGCTACTTGATTTTCAGAGCAAAGCTCCCCACACCATACTTTCTGGGTTATGGCTGTGGTTACTATGGACGCACAGGAGCAAATGTACATACACACAAATATATTCATGGAACTGAAACACAAATCACACTGCTGTAATCTCATCCTGCTTTGATCTCCCTTTGTTTTCAATAGAGAATATGTTACATCAGTTCTGTTTTGTAAGAGGCTCTGATAACCTCAGGGCTTTAAGCTTAGCAATGTGAAATATTCTTTAGAAGACTAAGCAGAAATTTCACCTGTTACCTTGTGTTTCTGTAGAGTGTTTGTTCCAGTACTCCATTTAACTACCCTAGAACTGTTTACTTATCATCAGATCTTTGAAAATAGCAATTAATAGAACTTGTGCAGTTCCTGTGGACTCCCTTAAATGAAGATCTTTCTGTAAACCCAGTTCATCTCTGAAATCAACCAGAAAAGGACAAGCTGAGACCTTTAAAATGTGTATTTCCACTGGCAAAGGTTGTCAATTGATTATCAGTACTCCTTTTTTCTAAAGATGTCATTTACAAAATAATATCAAAGTGATGGAAGAGTAGATGGTAAATTGTCAAAAATTGCTGAAATAGTCCTTTTTCTATGGCCATGTGAGTGAAAAATATGAAATCCAAGGTGTGAGCCTCCATCACTGCAGACAGAGCTCTGTCAAAATAAGTTATGTTGTCACTAGACTAAAAACATTCCTTTGCAGACCATTGCCAGGGCTCTGGGTCTCTTGAGAATGACTTCCAAACTGACAAAATATTCTTTTGTGTGTGTTTTGGGGGACATCAACCCTTTAAAAGGGTTTATATCTTCATTAGGCCACTCTGAAAATTCCTAACAAATTATTTGCCTGTAGTATATTTGTGTCAGCAGTTGCCTGAACATATTTGAACTTTCATTCCCTTCCATGCTGAGTCCTGGCTGGAGAGCTCTCATCCTTACTCCCTGTGGTATCAGCAGGCCCAAGTGTAGTCCATAATCCCTAACTCCAGTGCTACTCACCAAGACACCACAATTGTTCTATTTTTCTGTTCCTTTTTGAAGCCCTGTTTTTCATTCCTCCGCCACCACTGCAGCATTTCCTATTATACTGGTAATACATGGAAGAAGATAATGAAGCAAACATTGTCTTGTACAGACCTTTTCATCCTTTCACAATCTAAAGCTGTTAGTGTCAGTTAGCAGCACTTTTCAAAGATGTGCAGTAGGTTTATGTCATATTTGAAATAAAATGCTTAAAACTCTGATGTACTTTCTCCAGCCCTCTTTCTGGGCGAGCCAGTGCTTGACAATAGAAGACTCTGCAGACTGTATTTTAAGACTCCAGTCATCTTAAATGCCATCAGCACTGGTCACAGTCCCCTGTTAATGCCTGGTTGTTGGGGCTCTGGGCT